TTCTAGAGAGGCTGAGGCAGGAGAATGGGGTGAACCCGGGAGGTGGCAGAGCTTGCAGTGAGCGGAGAATGTGCCATTGCACTCCAGCCTGGGCGTCAGAGCGAGACTCTGTCTCCAAAAAAAAAAAAAAAAAAAAAATCCTAAGAAATCATCTGCCATTAACTCCATTAGCTATTTTTAATTATTTTCATAACTAAAAATAGAGTATGAGTTTTGCAGACAGACAGACATAAGTTCAAGCCCCAGATTTGGCACTTAGGACTGGCATAACTTTAAGATATAGGGTCTTACTCTGTTGCTCAGGCTGCAGTGCAGTGGCATGATAGCTCACTTTAGCCTTGACCTCCTGAGGTGAAGTGATCCTCCTGTCTCAGCCTTCTGAGTAGCTGACTACACATGAATGCCACTATGCCAGGCTAATTTATTTATTTTTAAAATTATTTATTTATATATTTTTAGAGATGGAGTCTTGCTATGTTGCTCAAGCTGGTCTCGAACTCCTGGCTTCAAGTGATTCTCCCACCTCAGTCTTCTGCGTAGCTAGGATTATAAGCATGAGCCACAGTGCATGACCTGTGTGATCTTGAACAGACTATTTAATCATTTTCAGCCTTGATTTTTGTCTTTTCTTTGCAAAATGGGTAAAATAATAGTTCCTGCTAATAGGGTTATTATGAGGGTTAGTATACAAAGTGTTTTTTGAATAGCCAAACACAGCATGTGTTTGTTTAACTCATAAAGTATGACCTAAATGTTTAACAATAAAAGCATGTATATAGTTCAAAAAAAACAACTGAATATTACAAATCCCCGTGAATGAATTGATTTTTATTTTCTCTGAGTCTTAATTCCTAAGAATATGAAATCTTCACCTGAACTCCTCATAATCAGGAAGTGTTGATTTCTGGGCAGAGATTACTATGAAATGCAATTCATTCAGGCTCAAAGTACCTTAGTAAATTATAAAGTAGTAATTAAAAGAAGAGAACTTTAATAATGATGAGACAGAGGTTTAAGTTTGTAAGACTGCAGTGTTATCGTGTACTTCTCTACCTATGATAAAACGATTTCTAAGACAACATTTTAATAATGTTGGCTGGTGATTTATAAACAATATTAACTTGAGAATGGCTATAAAAAGCAAATATAAAACTTCAATGTTGCAACTGATTTCAAGCATTCCTGTTAATAGATTCTAAGTACCAAGATTTCCCAGAAGTATGATCACCTCAAATCTTCTCTATATATAGGAAATTGAAACATGCCCAATTTGAGACATCAAAAGACATTTAAAATAGACACCACAAAATGTATCTATAGTTTAAAGGTCAAATTTATTAGGAGATTAAGCGATGTATATGGACTATAAATACTGCACAGCTGACTTTATTCACAGTCAAGCACAGATATAGTCAGTGCCAACCTATTTTGTGGATACTCTTGTTCTTTTGTTCCAAGAAAAGTTTGCACCATAAGACTTGGACTTGGGTTTTGGAACCTTCCTCTCTTCAACGTCATAGCTCCATCCTAGGAGGAAAAAACAAAGACAAATCCACAGAAACAGAATTAAAGAGGATACCTGAAAAGCACAGCAAGCGGAGGCTAGCTTTTGTAACTTAATGTTCACTTATCATCAAGAGTATATGTCAACACATCTGAGATATACTTACTATTTGTTCCCTTATAATCCTCTGTGAGAAAAGGGTCCAAAAGATTGCCTACAGATTATTTACCATATCTCAAGTTAAAGATGTAAACTATGATTCAGTTTCTCCTTGTTCAATTACTGATATCTATGTATTACATTAAAATTTCCATTGCTCTATGTGGTTTAACAAAGGACTTTAAAAACAGTTGCAATGAAGAGCGATGAACAACATAACCAACCTCACTATTCTTCCAAAAATTGGTTTCTTTATAAGAGTTAGTTTAGAACTCTTCCAAAGGGATATAGAAAAATATGTACGTGTGTGTGGGTGCGTGTGTGTACTACATAGTTGAAGCGGACCATGAGAGTTTACTTGGTTCAACCTCCTGGACTTGGACAGGCTACTGATTAAACTCAAAAAGATTTTCAACATTTATTTCAAGGGCTATCTCACTAATTGGACTCACATGTGAGTACCCGATAAACAGTGCAAATTGTTAGGCCTGACCAAAGGCCCACTAGATCAGAATCTCGGGTAGGGACCCAGGAAACTACACTTTATCAATTCCAGGAGATTTTTATGCATACAAAAGTAAGGGCCACTAATCAAAGTTGTCTATTCTCTTCTGAGTATTTATATTTTCCATCCAAAGTCATTTCAGCATTTTGTAATTTTGAAAACTGGGTATATGTATGTCTACATTTTCTGTACTAAATTCTATTCTGTAGTTCTCCTAAAACATGGGAAACAAATCAACATCCTCCTCCTTAAAAATATAATTAAGTCATTCTTTTATTCCCTAAGCTAGGCAACTCCTGTAACATTCACTTTTCTTCATAAAATCCATTTTCCCACACCTGTAATTTATTCTTCTCTTAGGATTTTATTCAAAGAACTCATCTTGAAACCTCTAATTCATGGCTGTATCATGCAGTCACGTATAAAACGTCCAAAATGTGATTATTATATGGTCTAATTAAGTGAGCTTCTTGATCTTGGTGAGTATAGTACCTTCTGCCACAAAGCTTACATTTCAATAGTCCCTTAGTTAGTACTCAGTTTTACCACAAAAGTTAAGCCTATGAAACTCAACTCATCAAAGTATACTACTGCTACTGTACACAAAGGAAAGTAACAACATTTAACAGAGTATTTTAATTTAAACTTTTAATCTACTTTATCCATCACAGAATATTACATTCCCAACCGCTGGAACTCCATCTCCAAAGAAAGTCCAATAACTATAAGGAAATGGGGAAGCAGGAAAGCAAATGAAACATCAGAATCCAGGAGAGAAAATATTAATTTACTTGCTCAACATAATCTTATTTTCACAGAGTAGAAAATATGTTTTGAGAACTTTCTTATCCATTAAAAAAAAGTTACAAAGCTATAGCTTACTTTAAGAGAATCTGGACTTATAAAGTATGTACGTAACAAGTAGTTATCTCCATTTCAAAAAATTTACTAAAGGGCATAAGAAAAGTTTATATTTCATAAGGTTGTCATGAGGATTAAAGTACACGTCTTGTACTTCATATGGATGTCATAATTCATGTACAGTGCTTAGAAAGCACCCCCACTTAACATTTATTGAGTTCTATGAGAAAGAACCTTTATATGAAGTAATATTATCCCCCTTGTACAGCTGAGTAAACTGAGGCTCAGAGAGCTTAGGTAACTAGCGAAGGTCACTCAGCCAAGAAGGGACAGAATCAGGATTTAAACACAGCTGGTCAGATTCTGGAGGCTACGCCTTACCTATTATGCTACACTGTCTCTTGTGGTTTATAGTAGGCACTCAATAAATGTTAAGTATTATCTGGTCCTCAAATTTGATTCACAACTTCCTAGCACCATGTCTCTATATAAATTTCCATTACATTAGAGCCCACTAAATTTGAATTTGTGATGTTTTGGGTATAGCTAGCTATAATCTAACCTAGTTATTAACTACAGAAACGGGTTTTGGTAAGCAAATTAATACTGTGATCTGAGCATAATAACTTTAAAATTATAAACTTCTTAAGCACTTCCCATATTAACCAGCAAACGATGCTGATAATTACAAAATATATTCAATTTAATAAAGGAGGTATAATAATATTTACTAAGCATTGCCATTCATTTGATAAATATTATTGATTGCCAACTCCACGTCAGAGACTGTTTTTAGACAGTGGAGGCAGACTAGTGAATAAAACAAAATTTTCCTGAACTCCTTGAAGTTAGTAGGGGAAGAAAAGTTAGTAAGTATATAGTATATTAGGTGCTAATACAGTAATACCTAAATTAAAAATGTGTATTACATCCTAGTAAGTACTAAGGAGAAAACATTTTAGATGGGGTATACAGGGGAGCCCTCCCTCCCTGAGAAGTGGGCAGAGAACAGTAACTGCAAAGGCCCTGAGGCAAGAGCATTCCTGGTGCACTAGGTAGTATGTTCTAGTCCCCATGCTGAGTGCTTGAAATGTATTTTTATTGAAATTTTATGTATGGAGTTTATAGGTTGCATGGCTATAAGGAAGGCATTGTATATATCTTAATTTTACATTAATTTAAAAAAATATAGAGAAAATAAACAGCCTAAGGTCACAGGGCTAGTAAGTGGCAAAACCAGGATTTTAACCCAGATGGACTTTAACACCTAACTACTTTATTAATAAAACTACATTTCTTTTATTTTCTCTTTTTTTTTTGAGACGGAGTCTCGCTTTGTCGCCCAGGCTGGAGTGGAGTGGCGCGATCTCAGCTCACTGCAAGCTCCGCCTCCCGGGTTCACGCCATTCTCCTGCCTTAGCCTCCCGAGTAGCTGGGACTATAGGCGCCCGCCACCATGCCTGGCTAAGTTTTTGTATTTTTAGTAGAGATATGGTTTCACCATGTTAGCCAGGATGGTCTTGATCTACTGACCTTGTGATCTGCCCGCCTCGGCCTCCCAAAGTGCTGGGATTACAGGTGTGAGCCACCACGCTCGGCCTGAAACTGCATTTCTTTAAAAATATTCTGCAATTACAAGTTTTATCTATTTCATTCATTTCCTTTTATTTGAAAAAATATGTTGAAAAGACTTTTAAGAATCCCTGGGAAATCTATGTTCCACATATGCTCTCCCACAATTGTGAGGAAGGAAATGGTTTCTAGTGTAGATTTTGTATTTGGTTATAATGACAGCTGGAAAATTAACCCAAGACCTCCATAATCTTTTCTTGCCAAATGATAGGTAAGAAACCTAAATCTCTCTCCTCTTACTACCTCCCAACACACACTCACCAGGTCAATAAAGACATTAGGAAAGAAACTGCAGAAATGAGAAAGCACTCAAATATCTAGGAACCAGTAATATACACACAAACACAAACCTGATAGTCACTTTCTCATTCACTCAATTACCCTTTCAGCCACCAGGGAGAATTCTCTGTACTACATCAGATCTCAGACACAGATCTAATATCTATTCTGGTTATGGAGTTTCAAAATGTGGTCAGGGTCACTGCAATGTGAGAAGAATGAAGTTTTATACACATAAAAGAACAACTGGTTTGGGTTTTTTCCTGGTAACTAAGGAGTGAGCTGGCTCCCGGGAACTGTGAGCCAGATTACAGTTGCTGTTGATGGTGATAACAACAATAAATAGAAGTATCATGACAGGGATTGGAATGTGGATGGGCAAAGCACCCTGTGAAAAACAAACAAAAATACACACAGAAGAAGCCTGCATTTGCTAATAAGATCCATCTCTATATAATTACCACTGACCACTCATGATTGTTAGGATGTGTAGGGCAAAACATTTATTATCTTCCCATTTCTCTGTGATAAACAACTTTGTTTCCAAAGTTGCACATGCAACTGTGCTTTCCTAAACGCAAAGGAGTATATGAGGAAGTCCAATGACAATTCACAATAGAGACTAAAACTAAAGAAAGAATCCACGGACATCTTTGGATTTTCTATTCATTATTCAGAAAACTTTTCTACTATGTAGGGCTGTCATCATAATAAACATTTGCTGTTTTTTGAGACACTGTTAAGAATCTGATTACATTTCCAAGCATCCTCCTCCTTACAGTGCCTGGATGAACAAATTTACTGGTCCCACTATACTCGAATATAAAGGTTACCTGAGCAAACAGTGAAGTTGAGCTAAAAAGGACAACACTTGAAAGGACATTAAGCATGTGTGCTTAAGAATAGGTAAGTTACACAAATTATACTCATCTTTCCTACTTCCTATTTGAAACTTGTTGCTAAAAAGAAAGAATATATTTTGCAAGAAATAAAATATAGATATTAAATGTTTAAATTTCTATAACAGTGTCCTTTTTAACCCTAAAATAGATAAATATATATATATATTTTTTCTTTTTTTTAAAGAAAGAGCCCAAACTTGTTTTTCTGAATGGGAACATGGAAGTGAAAATACTTGCACTCTCCGAAGAATGCTCATATGCTTACATAAAATGAAGGTATAGTCTACAATCATAATGGTCCCATATGTTGTCCTATAGGGTACTGAAAACCAGCCCCTTGCTCTTCCCAGCTGTGCAACAGAAGAAGATCAAAGCAATGGAGTCCAAGGCAGCTGCCCCAGGGATGGGTAAAGCTCCCAGTGCTGCCGTCACTTCCTAGAGGACAGTAGCCATATGGCACAGATTTGCCACAAACCCAACTACCAGCACCTAAATGATGAGAAGCTGACTCCCTTTGCTGTTTCACACACTGAAATGCTTTCACAAAAATAGCTTGAACTTTAAGCCCTAGTATCATTTCCCTTTGGAAAATGCTGCAGTAAACTTAAAATGTGATCTTTAACATCCCATGCCCAATTTTTTTTTCTGAAATATGCCAGTTTATTTTGTAGATCTCCACATTGTG